GGCGGAGGGGCGAGGAATGGCGGCGCTCCGCGCGGCCGCGGCACTGCCCTGCTCCGGCCGCATGGGGGGAAAGGCTGCCTGGAGGGGCGAGCAGAGGGCCAGGGCGGGTGAGGAGGGGCGGGCGAGGGGCGGCAGCGGGTCAGCACCAGCGGGAGCCCGGAGGCCGCTGCCGCCGCCTCATCGCCGCCGCCTCAACCGGGCCCGGCGCCGTCTCCTAGCAACCGCGCCCGGCCCCCGCTGCGGCAGGCGCCCAGCTCCGGCGGCCGCGCGCTCCCGCCGCCGGCGCGCGCCCCCCGCCCCTGCGCAGGGGGGCGCATTGGGCGGGGGCGCGCACGTGCGGCCGGGCCTTGCTGACAGAGAGGAAGGTGTGTTAAGGTAACGTAGTAGTACGGTTCCCTGCCGGCAGCAAGGTCTCACGAGTGTCGTCTCCTGAAAGCGTCAGGGAGGCTTGTGCGTGCAGCTTCCCCGGGAATGGGAAAGGGAGACCATTTCCCCTGCATTTGTCCCACAAGGAAGCAGGATTAGAGAGGGAAGGTGGATGGCGGGCACTGTTGGTGAAAATATTGTATTCTTGCAGTTTTGTAAATTAGGGGAATGGAGTATGAAATAAGGGATATAACTAAATTCAAAACCAAAAAACACTTAGACCCAGTGCAGGTCTCTTAAATCTCTTGCTCTTTAGGGCATCAGTGAACACTTCAACACACAGCATATATTGAAAGAGTAATAGAAAAAATGTATGAATGTTTCAGACTTTAGAAAACAGTATTTGAAGACTAAACCATCGAGTGATCTCTCAGGCCTAGCCTCTGTTATCAGGGTTGCTTATGACTGTGTCACTAGCCTCTTGGCACTTCCTGAGGCATGTTATTTCACAACAACTGCTTTTTTTTTTTTTTTTTTTTTTTTTTTTTGTTAATTCTTGGCCTGCTATCTGTAGATAAAAGTCTTGCAAGTGTAATTTAGGATTCAAAACAGATGAGATATAGAAATAATTTATATTTTAAAACACAGGAATCTCAAGCAAATTTCATAAGTTGGCACATACTGTTTTGGTTCATCCATCACCTATTGTTTCAATTTAGCAGTGCTAAATTGCCACCCGTTCAACCCCATGACAGTGTGTATCTGTCCAACAGCATGTTAGCGGGGCTCAGGCCTATCCTGTGTTTTACTGGGGTCTCTTTATCATTCTTCCATGTTGGTACTGGGGCTTCTATAAATGCAACCATTTCGATAAACACTATTTCTCTCAAAAAAAAAAAAAAAAGGAAAAAAAGCTGCACGTCAGTCCTTAGTACTTTTTCCTACCTTCACCTCTGCAAGTTTCCCCTGCCAGTTTCTGAACTACATATCTAAGATTAACATCTGCAAAAAAAAATGACATTAGTTTGTTGCTTTCACTCACTTGCCCTTGTGTGAAAAGACATTTCAGATGTTATAATGAAAAAGCTGCTTAATGCAACAGTTGACAAAATTACTATATAGGTGCTTTCTGTTATATAAGTGAATCTGTTATGCTGTCTCATTTTAAAAAACAATGATTTGGCATATCATCCCCTATATGTGGCAAGTTTCTGTAAATAATAACAAAGTGTCCACACTGAATGAATCTCGATATACTTTTATGAAAGTCATTTCTTACTGATCCAACAATAAAATGGCACTTTTAAATGAAAATAATTTAAAAAGGAAAAAAAATGCACAAACATGTTAAATTCAACATATACAAAAAAGAATGATGGTTAAATATGAACAAGGTAGAATTCTTTAGGGTCAGCTACAAGATTTCTTTCAATGGCAATTGTATGCTTAAATCCTTTAACTGTCTTTGAAAATTTTAATCTGTGTGCTGAGAGAGAAAAAAAAGTAATTATTTGGGCTCCACATATCAAAATTTATAAACAGCAGCCAATTAGATACTAAACATCAGTGCCATGATTTCAGATGATATAAAAAACTGTATACAAAGAAAAGTGAACTATAGATTAAGACACCTGTTCAAAACCATGAAGCAAAAGTTGAATTAAAAGTTTGAAGCTGTTTGAACAACAAGTAGTAGCATCAGAGCTGGATAAACAGTCCTGATGTGCAAACATTTGGCCTCTACCATCTTGACTTACTGATTCTTGATTTTGTATCTGAAAAAGGTTTTGCATCTTTGGAAAAAAGTAGGAATCTTGGAGTGTTGACAGACATCTCTAGGGCATAGCATGCTTTTCCTTCACCTTATCTGATAGCAATGGTGAAAGTATGCAGTCCCCGCTTTTTCCACTGCTGTATTTTGCCTGCTGCAAAATTACACTGAAAAAAAATAGTAAGAAATTTAGCAGCAGTAGCTGAAGCAGCACAAAGGACTGTACTATGGTAAGACAATGGAGAGAAAAAAATGCCACCATGTTGTCAAATACAGGTCGTTAAGAGGACACCAACAGCCGTGCAGAACACAGAACCACAGGGGCAGCACAGGGAAGAAGACACAGGGAGATGGACATTTTGATTCCATGACTGAGAGAAATGTGGGTTTTCACAGCAAACATTGATTTCCTAAGGATGCTGAACTCAGTTGTGTGTTCCAGTTGCCTTATTACTGTATGAGACCTAACACACCTCACATGCAGATGTTCTTTACCCATGCAAGCTTCACACTACTGGTGCTTCTGTGACCTTGTCCCTATATAAATATTATGCATTGATTAAATAAATATGAACAACAGAAAAAAAAAAAAAACTTTAAAATCTCATTCCTCAGGGGAAACATGGAAGAGGAAAGATGGACTTGCATAAAGCCTATGCTAATCTCAAAAGACTGTCTTATAAAGCTCCAAAACTCTGTGATGGGTGCAGTGTTAAAACAAGAACAGCCCAAACAGATAAGTGATCTACATTAATTTTTAACAATGCAGAGGAGGATGAGAAGATCCCATACTAGAGAAAAGGAGGAAGGTGATAGGAATTACTCCTCAGTTATTATTTATAGAACATGAGCAAATATGTGTCCTGAAAGACAGGAAGTTCCATCTCCAGGTGAGGAGGAACTTTACTGTGAGGGTGACAGAGCGGTGGAACAGGCTACCCAGGGAGGTTGTGGAGTCTTCTTCTCTGGAGGTCTTCAAAACCTGGATGCCACCCTGTGCCACATGCTCTAGGTGTGCCTGCGTGAGCGGGAAGGTTGGACTAGATGATCTCTAGAGGTCCCTTCAAACCTTGAATATTCTGTGATTCTGTGAAATATTCCCAAATCTGTATAACACACCATTAGTACTAGAGACCTGTCTAGGCAAACTTTATGACTGCTTTGAAGTACATTCCACCTTGAATGGCTGGTGGAATAGGTAGATGTTTTTGTCAATGTTTTTGTCTTTTTTTTTTTTTTAACATGAAAATAGTAAAAAAATGCTACAGCTAGTGGGAAGACTCCTACTAAGAACTCCCAAATATTTTATAACTTTGTGAAGGGAGATTATTTGTGTAATTGAATGTAGAGTATAAGAACAAGTTAGAACATCTGCATTTTAATTTTCTGCCCTCCATCTTTCATTTTTTTCCTGTAAAATTAGAAATAAAAAAAAAAAAAGATAAACACTGCTAATGTTGTCTGGGGGTTCTCATCAGTTCTGATTTATAGGGAAATTTTCCTTTGCTTCCTATCATTTACTTACACTGCCTGCTCTTACACTCCTAGTGTCTTAGCAACAAGATTCACTGGTCCACTGTAGCTAACTTGTCTCCTACCCCCTCAAATCAATTAATTTATCTATTTAAATCATGCATCAAAAAGCCTGATCCCTCTGAGCACACAGTCCTACTCTTCAATGATTAACGTAGCAAGAGTTTGCAATTGACTCATACGATATGATGATGTCATAGGAAAAAGTCCTTAAATAAGGATGAAAATAACTAGAATCCCTCCCCCATTCACAACTGATGCCTATTCATTAAATATTTCAGAAATAACTCCTGCAATGCCTGCAAAAGTACAAATGCAAAAATTGCATTTGTATATTACAAATGAATCCTCAGAATATTATTTGGAAGATTGTTAAGAAAGCAATTTTGAATATAATAACTGAAAACTGCATTGTATTTATTAATTTATTGTCTAGTGAATTTGACAGAAAAAGAAGGTAGATGTTTTGTGCAAGTCATCTGCGTTTATAACTTCTCTAATATTAATTCTAGTTAATGACATTTATCTTCATTATAGGTAAGATAACAAGACAGTGAAAGACAGGACATACAAAAAACAATCCTTTTTTTTTTTCTCCATGTATAATTATTTCAGAGATCTCAGTATAGGGTTGATACATTACTTTTCTGCTTGAAAGTGAAGGCAAGCCTCATTCACAGCAGCTCAGCTTTGAAGCCTGTTTTCTGACTATTTCTTCTCATATCAGTACCCTCATAGACAAGCCTCTGTACAGCTTATAAGTTTCTTGAAAAATGCTGACTTTATGCACATTTATAGTGCTTTACAACTGAACAGAAAAATGAAGTCCCTGCTTCAAAGCAACACAAGCCAAAACAGTAGTAAGTAGAAGCATCAGTAGCAGCCCTTAGCGCAAAACAGACTTTTGCAGAGAACAAGCTAGCAGCTTTGCTTGCATTTTCTTTTCTATAATAAATAAAAAATGCTTTGCATAGTGGCAGAGATCAAAAAAGAAAATCCCAGAGAACAAAACGTGTCCCTTCTTGAGATACCCTCCCATCATTCAAAGCCTCTAGTAGCAAACAGCATGGCAGCAATAGCAACAGCATGCTTTTGTGACCAAACCAAAGCTTTTCAGTAAAAAAACACAAACTTATACAGAAGCTTCTCGTGTTTATTGTATGACTTTAACTACAAGTTAAACTTTACACACACACCTGAAGGAAGTCTTCTGCTCTCTTCGTACTCCTAACCACCTTTGACATAACTTGCTGTGACAAATTGATTAGAAGTCTGATTGCAGGAAGAGGAGCTGGAAAGCGCTGCTCTGCCTTGTGGGTGTTGTAGTTTTTCTCCTTTTCATCGAACTGGGTAGCAGTAGGCAGCTGCACTCCAAGTCCCATAGCTCCCATTGCAGCCTACTGCACAGGCTCAGAGACCATAGCTAGGAGGAGGTGGTTCGTTGTCTCTATTGTACGATTTTGTGTCCGCCTCCCCCCTCCAGTCTTTTGTACATTTCACGGGAGGTTAAAATTGGGAGTGAAAAGCATGGCTGATGAGCAAGAAATCATGTGCAAACTCGAGAGCATCAAGGAGATCAGGTATGTTTGCTTTGTGCTTCACCAGTCAAAACGGGGCAGCTTTCCCTTCGGGAGAGCAGAGGAGTTCCATCTATCTGAAAGTAGCTATTGTTGTGCTCCTGAAGGAAAGAAAGCCTCCCCGGGCTTTACCGCATGAGCTAAAAAATATGCTTTTCTACATCGGCTACTGGTAAGCGCTGGTGAAATGTGCAGGGGCAGAGGGCGACTGTCGTGTATTTCAAGAAAATTACCCGGAATGATAACACGAGAGGGGAGGGTGCGCACACGGGGCCCTTAAGTCCTTTGCGTTATTTCTCATTCCTAAGGCTCTTCATCGTCCATCTGTTATTTTCCTCCATTCCTCCCACCTCTCCCTGGCGGGAACCGTGACGGGTAGCAAGGGAAGAGGTGGCCGGAGAGCCGCGAATGGCACTGCCAGCCGGAGATGGACGCGCGTCCGAGGCGCCACAGATACCCGGATACCCGAGCCCAGCACGGCCGGGCCGGGCCGGGCCGGGCCGAGCCGAGCCGGGCGGAGCGGAGGCCCCGGCGGAGTCCCGCGGCCGCACAGCGCTGCCCAGCGCGCAGGGTGGCCCGGGCCGGTGGCTCCACAGCGAGGAACTCGCGGAGAACGTGTTATCGGCCCGCGGCTGAGCGCTCGGCCGCTTTCCTCGTACCTGTCCTCCGCTCGGTGCGTAGAGGGGGCGAGGACACTCCGGGGGAGACTCCCTAGCTGCTGCTACCGGTTCCGCGCAGCGGCGCGCAGGGCAGCGCGCGCCGAGGCAGCCGGGGCGCGCGGCCGCACGCGACAAGCGGACGGCTCCCCAGCTCTGCCGCACGGCGCCTAAGCTAAGAGTTTGTTCCCCATCCTTCGCCGTCACTAGAGCACGCACGGCTCTGTGCATGCCCGTGCCGGGGTTTGCTTTTTTGGGCTTCGATAGGACTTTAACGCTCTTCGGGGTAGGACTTTGCTATTCCGGCTACGGCCTGAGCTGTCTGTATTTAGCAGGAATTTGTGTGTCCAAAAGCGAAGGTAGTTACGAAGAAAGTGAGGGTAGTGTCTGCCTAAGCGGCTGGGCGGTGCGAAGCAGCGGGCGCGGCCCCGCAGGGGGTCGATGCCCGGCCAGGGAGCTGCCGGCGCCGCCGCTGCAGCCCCTCATCCGCGGAAAGGGGTAAACTGGGCAGCACGCAGGGTCCCGTCCTCACGCAGTACCGCGAGCAGCACACAGACCCGGCCAAAATATGTGTGCTTGGCATCCTAAAACTGGCTATAGAAAGACAACACGCATTGAGCAGAGTAAGAACAACGGTTTTCTACTCAGTTGTTGGGCAAACTCCGTTTTAAAATGCAATCATAAATATGGCCAATAACAATTTGACATGCAGCTATTAAAACGTTGAATTTATATAACTGATTAAATTATCTTTTCGGTCATAGCAGCATCCCATGTTTGAAAATTTATGATATATTCGATTTTCTGCTTATATGTTCAAGGGTGACATTTAAATTGTAACTGATGTGTTTTAATATTAGTTTAAGATAAAAGGTACTGTAAATGTAAAAATATTAGCTTTGTTACACAATGAAGTTCCAAGAAAGTTGTTTTAATATTTTAAATATTAAAAAAGTTTTAAAATTTTGAAACTCAGTTCATAAAATGTGACCAAATAAACTGTTTTTAAAAGGTGCTGGCATTTAAAAAAAAAAATCCTTGAAAATAAACATAAGAATTTCTTATATTTATAGCGCAAGCACATCTTTGACAGATTTAGGGACTATTTTAATATCTACTCCATATATTATTCTATAGGAGAAAAGCTGCTATCATTTGTTAAAGGCATTTCAACTGTGTTTTTGCAGGAATTTTTGGAATCTGATTCTGCAGAACTTTATATATGTATATATAAACTTGTATTTGTTGCCACTACATTGCAGTAATTAGACTTCAATTACTACAGTCAGTTAACATCTGTAGTAGTCCCTGATCCAAAGATATATGCGCATTTTTTTTTATATGCACTGAGTAGTTCCACAGAATTAACCAAAGCCATAAAATTAAGCGATTATGTAAAGACTGGGCCTCAGCCTTCCATCTGGGAGCAGATAAAACAGACTCATGACAGCTACTTGTTTCACTGCTTAATATCCTCTTGGGACGCCCTTACTGACTACTGTAGTCAGTGTGATGTAAGATCTGAAATAGAAAAGAATATGAGGGCAAAGTTCATTCTAGTTTTATTGTGAAACATTACTGCACATTGTCTAATACTAATACAAAAATCTTTAATTAGTGTGTGCTTTTTTTTTTTTTTTTTCTCTCTTCTAATATCAAAAGCCAATTGTTTGGATTGAAATAGTCCCCTGCAACTAACTTGCTTGACCAATTTGGCAGAGCAGGGTAGCGAGTGACTAGTAACAGTGAGGAAGTTGATCTCAATTTCCGTTGTCTTAGGTGAGCACAAGACCTGTACAGAAATATCTTTCTATATATCTTTTCTTAGAGACAGGTATAGCCAAACTTATTCCAGGTTGTTCAGTGCCTTCAGCTTCCATTAAAACAACATTCCTGCTGCTGTGCTTAGTTCAGTGGGAGTGAGTCAGGACCCACTGGGAAGTGGAGTCACTCACCATCTTTCAGAGGTAGGTCTTTTATTGCTAAATTTTCATTGCTTTGCACTGCTGATAGGCAGCCTCCTATAGCATGCATTTTATAATCAGCTTCCCTGCTTCCAGTGAATTTAAATCAGCCTTACCCCTGCTTTGTGTGAGGATAAGCACAGGACACTTAAATACAAAAGCAGGCCTCTTCTTTCTCTGCCCTTCTTATCATGCCTGTGAGAAATCTATTGTGTTGTTAAATATTGCACTTGGAAGTAAATTTGTCTCTACTTGTAGTAGGTGTTATATGACTAAAAAGGAGTGCTACATTCTTGTTTTACTCAATACAAAGTGATTCAAGAAGTCCTGGAGCTTTTACTATATGTCTGAAATACAACTTTGCAGTCTTTTGTCATAAACTTAGAAGTTCTATTAACATGTAGGTTACTGTGTATCAGATTCTAACTTCCAGTACAGGAAAAATAATCAAGGTCTCTGGGTTAACTAAATCACATGAACAAGACTGGGAACAAGAACAATGTGTTTGATGCATTCAACAGTTTGGACTAGTGTTAAAACTTTACAGTAATAAATTGCCTGTTGCTTAAAATTGATGACTGAAACTTGCACCCTCCAACTTTGATAACAGAGATGTACGCTGCATTTTTAAACATTTTTGCTATGGAACTATAGTTTGCCACAAAAGAACAAGCAGTACAATAATGCAGTATATAGGTAGAAATATTTACATGTATTTGAATGGTACTAGAGCTTAGCAAAGGACTAAGAGAATTCAGAGCTACCTGCAGAGAGGATATTGATGGTCAATGTTATCTGAGTTTTTACTATAGTCATTATTTTGAAATTCTCTGTATTTGAAGCCGATGTTTTGATTATTGTTTATATAATTGCAATCAGTGTATCCAATAGTGTAATCACTTGCACCACTCTCATTTCATACTCCACTTCTTAGAACCCCATTTAAAAACAAACAAGCAATCAAACATAAAAAAAAAATCCCAACAGTTTTTCTCTTATTTTCCTTTTTGGAATTAGGCAAAATGTCATTTGATGCAGCAAAACTCTATTGGTATGATTTATCTGAATCTAAAATAACTTTAATTTTTTAAATGATGTGCTAATTTGATAATTTAGAGGAGTATGGTGCAAGCTAGTAGCATAGAAAAGTGCAAGAAAACAGCTGGGATTAAAACCCACTTCTCTCATTACACCTCATCCTTTCCCTGCCATGCTTAATTTCACCCTTATCATTCATCCTTAATGCTACCTCTTAGATTCATCTGTTCACATATGAAGTGACCTCTGGCAAAAACGTTTTCAAGTGACTTACTGTTGTCCCTCTATATTTGTAATTACTGCTGGGATCCAGGAATAAGACTTTGCAGATGGAGAAAATAAAAGCACGACTAAAAGCAGAATTTGAAGCCCTGGAGTCTGAGGAGAGACACCTGAAAGAATACAAACAGGAAATGGACCTGCTGCTGCAAGAGAAGATGGCCCATGTGGAGGAGCTGCGGCTGATCCACGCTGATATTAATGTGGTATGCAACAGTCCAGCTGTGGGCAGTCTGACTAAATCACAATTGTATAGGAATCACTCCACAGGTTGTGGAATTGTGCGCGTCATTGAACTATCAGTGGTTCAATAATTTGGACTTTACAATACCATACCAGGATCCTGCAAAGACTGCCAAGTAAATTTACTTAAGTATCATTGTTTCTTCCTGTCCGTATTGTGCAAGGTATTTTGTGTTGTTGCTATAGGAAGGATTTACCCAGAGGAGATAAGAAAAGAAGCCCATTGTTGCTACAACTTTACCATTAACTATGGTAATATCGCTCTGGCAGTCCCACAGAAAGTGGTTCTTCATATTAGTCTTTTGCATTTATCACCTGGAAGCAGTGTAGCTTTTGGTTGGAGGTTTGTGGAAGAAAAGGGATTTGGGGCAAATACATTATGTTTGTAAAATTCTTTGCAAGAACCAGCCTTGTTCATGGGGTGGAACCACAAACCATGACCAGAGTACAGTAAGAAGCACCATCCTGAAAGAAATCCATAGAAATGAGAGAAACATTTTCTTTTTTTTTTTTAAAGAAGAACCTAGAAGAACCTTTAAAAAAAAGAACATAACCTAATCAGAGGGACTAACTGGTGAATATGCTTTAAAACCCACATTTTTTTACTTTATGTTAGAGCATTAGAATGCCTATACAGTGGTTTCTAGCTCGAAAGGTATTGGTGCTTTGTACCAGAGGAAAAAGCTCCCACATCATAAGCAGGTTCAAGCTATGCAGTAGATGTGCAGAGTGCTTTATTTATCACTCACGTTTTCTGTCCTCCCCACCCCTCACTCAGCTATATAACCACTGTCTTACTCTGTTTTATCCTCCTCTCTTTTTTTCAGATTATCTTTTTCTCTGCTGCTTTTCCCATTTACTGTGATAAGGGAAGCAGAAACCTTTTATTATATTGTTAGGTAACTTCTAAACAATCATATTTTTAGAGATGCAGAAAATGACTTTATTCTACTTTATCATATATTTACTTTGTACTTTTAATGCCCTTTGAGAGTTTTCAATAGCTCTTCACTTGCCCACCCAGATGCAGCCGTTCTTCTTATTCTTCTATTCTTCTGTTGTTTGGAATGTGTAGATTGAACATGTGTATCACTTGAAATTGCTGCTTCCTTCCAGTGTTCAGCCTCCCAGTATTTTAATTCCTGTTTGACCATTGTGTTGTATCCTCTCTCTTCCAATTTGAATCTAAAAAAAAAAAAAAGAAAAAGAAAAAGAAAAAGAAAGAAAGAGAAAGGATTTCTTTCTCTTATTCTGATATACAAACTTCTGGTGAATCTGGTATATTTGAAAACTATTAGAGTCCTAAAAGAACCCTGTACATCCTCCTGTTTCAGATGGAGAATACTATCAAGCAGTCAGAGAATGATCTCAACAAGCTATTGGAATCTACTCGTCGCCTTCATGAAGAATACAAACCCCTGAAGGAGCACGTAGATGCTTTACGGATGACTCTCGGTTTACAGAGGCTGCCAGATCTTTGTGAGGAGGAGGAGAAACTGTCCCTCGAGTAAGTCTCTAGAGCAAACCTGATCTGGCTTATAACCTCTCATGATTCTATTGGTTATTTTTTCATTTTATCTGTTTGCAGGTGGAAGAAAGATGAGATAAGCACAAAAAGCAGAAGTTAACAGAAAGGGGATAGGCATTTGTTAACATTCAACTTGAATTTGTTGGAAATTAAATTTAGATGATCCTAAGTTACATACTCCAAATTCAACACACAAACATTCAACAACATTTGTTTCTATTGCTTTTTCTAATAGTTTTCTGTTTGTTTTTGTTTGTTTTCTTTTCCTGAAAATAATCATCTGATTTGCTTGTTTCACCAGCAAAGCTATGAGGCAGTAGAAGAAAGGAATACAAAAGAAATATTATGTTGGTTTATGCTACTGTTAATCAGAACTTTTCTTTGTGCTGCATACACATTGTAGTATTATTTAGCATTGTTTAGCCATATATGTCTGACCGATAGCAAGTGTCAAGTTAACCAGGATGTTTAATAGATGTGGATTATGACCTAAATTTCATTTTTAGGGCATGACCTAGGTACGGTAGGATAGGAGAATTATTTATGAGTCAAATAATAGTGTCCTTGGTTTAACAAATCTGTTTTAAATGCAAATGATGTTTATAGAAAACTACATTTATCCTAATGTCTAACACATTTGCCATCATTTTAACTAATACACAACTTTAAAGCTTTGCTTTGCATTTCTAACAATATTCTATTTTCCATTCTACTCATCTTGGTATTACAAGGAATATATTAATCCACTCCACTAAAAAGTTAATATTTTAAAATAAAATAAAATTAATAATTAAGAGTTTTAAAGAAAGCTGTTAAAGATTACATGAATACATTGTGTATTTTCTGAGCTACCAGACTGTATCTAGTTATAAATCAACGTGCCTTAGAGGCCAACAAGCAATGACATTCTTTGCGATTCTGTCTGAAGTATACAAATGCAGAGAAAAATACTAGCAGTTCTATTTAAGGGCTAGTAACTTGACTCTAGCAAGGAACATAAAAGGGAAATATTTTTTTAAATACAAAATATCTCTTACAAGCTAACAGAATAGTCCAAAAATGGTTATATTCTTGCTTTTTGTTTTTAGTTATTTCGAAAAGCAGAAAGCAGAATGGCAGACAGAACCACAGGAGCCTCCCATCCCAGAGTCTCTGGCTGCAGCTGCAGCTGCTGCCCAACAGCTGCAAGTGGCTAGGAAACAAGATACCAGACAGACAGCAACTTTTAGACAACAGCCACCTCCAATGAAGGTCAGGAGATGGAACGTGCTGGCTTTTCTCTTGTGTTTTTGCAATATACAATGTTTATAAAGTTATTTAGCATTTAAAATAATATATTTATGGGTATGTATATGGGTCCCGATTTTGATTTTCCTGTAACAGTTCAAGTCAAGAGCAATCCCAGTAAATTTAAACTAGTAGCACCAGCAATCAAGGGTTGAGGATAAAGCTCTGTTTCTTATTTGACTTTCTTTTAACTTTATGATTCCCCATCAGCAGAGACAAAGCCAGCTTTTGTCCCCAAACCAGCTTTTGGTTTTGTGTGGAAACACAGCTTTGTGTTTGATTCACATAGGGAAAAGGCACTGGATCAACCCTGCACTCACCCCTGCTAAAAGCAAAACAAAATAAGCCAAAACAAAATCCAAATGAATTCAAGATAGAAGTAATGCATGTATTCTGTGAGGAGTGAGATATTATAGAAAGGTGATAGGCTTTGCACTGCAAGACAAAGCTAATATTTTCATCTAAACATAGGCACTTAAGTGACATGTACCACCTTAAACAGTTAAACTCAGCTCCTTCTGTTGTTAGCAGAAAAAGCTAAATGTTTGCCGATGGAGATTTATCACACCCATGTTCCAAAGATTTGCTAACTAGAAAGGCAAACAGACGCAAATATACTCCTTACTTAATTGCTCACTTAGTATCTTGAGTTAGGTGAGATGAAAAGCCTTTCTGAAAGCGAAACATCTCAGTCAAATGTAAGTCAAAGGGGCAGTGTGGAGAAAAGAATGGAGTTCAGTCTGTTATGTTCAGTATGTAGGATTCATCCAATCACCATTTTTTGCCCCTAATTCTGTGGAACTCCTCACTATAACTTCATGCCTTCACTTCTCTCTTCCAGTGAAGTATTTCCCATGCAAATCCTCAAAACACATGAAAAAATAACAAATGGAAGTTTGTATCAGAGTTGATACAGGCCCAAATTTTAATTCAGTGAAATGCTCTGGGCATTTTGTTTGTTTGTTTGTTTGTTTGCTTTCCTTGAAGTTAGAATAAGATATTCAATAACCCATGTGTCAATAGCACTTAAATGCTTATATTAAGGGGTTGCAATGTTGCATTTCAGGCATGTTTATCGTGTCACCAACAAATTCATCGGAATGCACCCATCTGTCCACTCTGCAAAGCAAAGAGCCGATCTCGGAATCCCAAAAAGCCCAAGAGGAAACAAGATGAGTGAAGAAGGACAGAAGAATGGGAATATATATGACCAGTCCTAATACCTTTCCAGTAGAACTGTAAATGTAGCCAGACTTAATGAAGTGCAAAATCAAGTATGATTGACTCATTGTTTTCTATTTAATGCTACGTAAGCACAATGTTTCTGTTCTGTCTTAATTTCCTTCTACTCCTTGAGATTCGGTTTTAGGAAAAGAAATACTAATGGTGCTAAAGCTTAACATTTCAAGCATTGTATCTTTTGGACCTTAAAGAAAATAGTATCCTAAATGTCAGACTATTCCTATCAGCCAAATGTAAGTACCACAAGTTCTTTTATGCCCACTTTTTAAGCAGATATTTCTAAAAATAATCCAATCTTTTCCTCAAATCAGAAGACTACTTGAAGTGCAGAAATAGGAGATTGTCTCGCTGTTCTCTAAAGAACAACTTCTCTACCTGGCTAGTAATACTACATAGGCTTGAGTATCAAGTAGAACTGTTTTTATAATGGATATGTTAATGGGGGGAATATATATATATAAAAATAGGAAATCAGTGCATCAGAACACAATTGAATTTTGATCAATTACTAGAGCTTGATTGTACTATTCCCTCAAATTTGGCTTAAAATTTGGAAGGCAGATCAAGTTGTAGGATAACATAACTTGTGATGCATACAAATGACATAATTTATGATGCATTACCATCAGCAGTCAGAAGACTGACTTAAGTATAAGGCTAAAATGAACTGCATTAGTGATCTTCCTAGGAGCTGTGACCAATGGATTCTCTACATATCACACATCAAATAACAAATACCTCTTTGCCTCTGTGGCTGCAACATTAACCATTCTGCATGTGTTCTCTTCCTGGTTTCTGCCGCCAAAATCCTGAACAAACTTATCCTGCAATAGACCACAGGGAAGCTCAGTAGCATGCAAAATGAAAAATTAGACATTTCACCAGATCCCACTTTCCCCACCCCACTCTTGTTCCTGCCAATGAAAACTAACTAGTTGTTTGTCTTTTTGTAAGTAACTTTCAAGCTAGTTTTATTTCAGCCCAGAGTAGTTTCTTGCTCTATACATAGGCCAAAAGTACTCTGATTAGGGGATACTTCAGACTTCTCGGTGTATCTGTGTCCTCCCGTTTCCTCTCATGTAATTAGAGCTTCTCCAAAGGAGAAAATGATGGTGACTCAACTACAGAACTGAGGCTTAAAATCTATTGCTTTCTCATTTTGTCATTGGTTTTGTTGTCTAAACTGATAGTAAGTCTTAACTATTCTTTCTCCTTTTCTCCTAACTTTAGGAGAAAGGACTGCCAGTCTAGACTCTTCCTCTCTTTTTAGTCCATTTCTGTTGTCTATAATTATGCTCCATTGGCTATATTAAGAATTTTGCTTGTTAGACAGTAAGGACAGTGAAGTCCCAAATCCCTGATCACAAGACTTGAACAAAATAGTGGGGGCCAATACAAAAGATTCTGTTGGCCAAATCACATACGTCACTATGCATTTCTTAATTCTATCATAAAGTACATGAGTATTTTATTGAAAATAGTCCTATAATTTATGGCAAGTTCGCATGATATTGGTCCATTTTAATGTTTCACAACCAAATAAACATCTCAGTGGAATATGGACCATGTGGCCCTGAAAATACATCAAAAGCAGTTTCTGTTAGGCATGTGACTGGGGCTTAGTCTCTGTGCAATGGAGAGGCTATTCATTAGCTCTCTTACTCATTGCTCTCTCCACCAGGTAGCGGCAGTGTTCTAATTCTTTATCCTTATGCATATTTCCTAACATCAATATTGAATTCTGTGTTTAAATATCAAAGTGGCCATATGATGCCTGCCCCGATCAGAGGATTTTATTTGGCTTAAGGAAAAATATGCACAGTTAAAAGAATAGCACATAGGCTTCTTATTATTGCAAGCATGAGAACAGGATACTTCTGATAATGGAGGTACAAAAATTTAAAAAGTAACAATGGACAGTGGGTGAATTGTCTGCAATGAAGTAATGTGTAAGAAAGAATAGATTTGTAGAAAGTTGGATTTATAGTCTTAAAAATACATGGGGTTATTCCTAGTTGCTCTCACTTCACTGCTACATTTGGAGGTTATATACTTTTCGGAGATCTCAAAAGCTCTAAATTAAAGCATGCTTGAGGGTTAATAATTTCCTAATTCTGTATGTCCATTCTGTATTTTTTTTTATTTTTAAAGATTGTTTATTTTGCCCTGATATTTAAGGAAGTTTTTTTTCTTTTTTTTTTTCCTTAAAAAAGGGGGAGAGAGGATGAACAGTCTGTGCTTGTATCAGTCATGGATTAGTGTTTACATATATAGTTTCATATCCTTTATTAAGTTGTACCATACAAATTGTTTGCATTGCTGATAATCAATTAAGCTATTTAAAGAGGGAAAAAACTGTATTATATTAAGAGATCCTGGATAGGGAATAAGCGTTTTTTTTTTTTTTTTTTTTTGTTAGGGAAATGGTATTTCTATTTGATTAAGAAAGTTTAGATGAATAGTTTTTCTCATGACAACCCTCAGTGCTTTTCTCCCTCTCATCTCAATAGAACAGAGAGCTAATTATGAATTATTGATTTTTTAGTTGTTTTTCTTTTAGGCAGATAAGAAACAAAAACTTCACAAAACTTCTCTGTTTTTGATCCATGGAGAACAAACTGTGTTTCCCTTTATACCTATAATGCTTTGAGGTTATTTCATCACTAAGTTCAGTTTAACAGTTTTACTTGGGTTGAATTCTATTAAATGGTTACACAAAGAGAAACTCTTCTTATGTACCCTGAGATGCTGTTCAAGTCTAAAGAGCTTACTAGATTTATACTGTTGAAGCCTGGTGTAGAACTGGCTTCATCATCCCCTTTGCAATCAGAATTCAAGCAATAGCAATACTACTGAATTCTTTTATTGCAGTTCTGAACTTTAGGGAAGCCCTGTTTTTCTACAACTGAATAGCAGAAAAAACTACCCACATCCTGCCCCAGCACGTTGAAAGAGCAAGAATACTACAGTGTGTGTAAATGCTTTGCTATGGAAATATGTGAATCTAAGCTGGAGAAACTCGGTTGATCAGACTCTGATCAGAGCTAAGCACCTCAATAACTAGATAGAAATATCTTATAAGACAAATTCTAATTCTTAGAAAACACAAGCTACATTTTAATACTTGCACTTAATGAGTTCATCTTTTGCTTTCTAAACAGCACATGTGATTGAGTGAATCTGCTAATGGCTTCAAGTAGGAGAATTAAATCTACTTTTTTACAGTTTTCTAATTCTAACCTCATAACTTTTATTTTAGTATTTGGTTTCATTTGTTTCTGTGTTCTGAATATTTTACTCTTATGCCCAGTTGAAGTAAGTAACAATGTGCTACCTGTTTAACTTGTCTGTACAGCCCTTTTTAATAAATATTTGTTCATGTTAAGCTTGCCTTCTGGAGGATATTTACGTATCAGTTACTTGTTTACGCTACTGACAAGCAGGCATAGCCTGAATGGTAAAACTTGGTTCTTTAACAGAAGTGTGTCTAATTGCATAATATGATATTATAATAACTTTATGAGGCTAAATATGGTGAAAGAAATATCTGCTTTAATGAGCTGTGGAAAGTAGGAAGTAGAAAGGAAAAGAGAGGACACCCAGGGTTAACATAGCCAAATTTCTCAGATGCATTTCTGAACATCAATGTGTGTTTAAACAGCATAATTTCTGCATTTCTGCAGGGAAAATACCCTCTGCTACTATTGATTATGAACTCCTGAATTGGATGGTTTGTGTGAATATGAACTCCTAATTTGCACTTGCAGGCATTCAGTTGTAAAGATTCCAACAGAACTAGAAAAATAACAAGGAAATCATTTCCTGCAATGACATGGCCTTATGTATCTCTGCTGCAGTTAAGCACTGAACAGCACCTACTGAGAGCTGTTTACTTTTACCTGATTTACAGAGCTTCAGCTTGAATCAGCTCCCAGTCAATAAAAAATAAAAAAAAACTACTCTTAAATGAATACATTACAAACTTAGCTTAAAATAACAAAGAGACAAACTAAAAATTGGCCATCAATAGGACTAGAGAAAACGGCCACAAGCTGAGGCACCAAAAGTTCCACAGGAACTTAAGGAAACATTTCTTGACAGTGAGGGTGACAGAGCACTGGAACAGATTGCCCAGGGAGGTTGTGGAGTCTCCTTCTCTGGAGAGCTTTAAAACCCGCTTGGACACATCCCTGTGCCATCTGCTCAGGGTGACCCTGCGTGAGCAGGGGGCGTTGGACTAGATGACCTCTGAGGTCCCTTCCAACCTTAAGCATTCTATTATTCTGTGATTCTACGAAACCAGAAGAAGTCTTCTGAAGACTAGCTTCAGATAAGAGAAGCTTATTTTCAGGTGCCATTTTATCAAATTCAAAAAAAAAGGTCATATTCTCTGAACATTTCCTCTGCTGTGGAACCTCCTTTTTTTGTTTGTTTGTTTTTTCTAAAAGAAGAGGTATGATTCCTTCCTTTTTTGGGGCTAAGGGATAGATATCTTCCAAACAGTCCTGCTTTCCCAACGGGAGATGGCATCTTCAAACAGTGCTTGCTGCAAGCCACTTTTCTCATTAAACTGGCAACAGACGTGCTTATGGGAGCACTCCCTTACCCAGCTGAATCAGAGAAAAGCTCACAGATGAAGTACACTGTGAGTAAGAGCAGTGCTGGAAAATCACCTGTTGCTTTGGCACACCTGGATTCAGAGGAGAATGTCTGTCCCAAACCTCACAGAGCCAAGACTCTGAGCTTGCTTAAATATAAGGAACATGGTTTCTCCATAGTCCAATTGTCTTCAAACACAGAGAAGTTAGAAAACCTAACCATTGCCCCAATCTTCCTCCATACCATGAGAGCCATTCCAAGATAAAAGAAGAAAACAACTTTTATTCATACTCAATGCCACCTGAATTGGTCAAACATGAAACATCCTGCACTAATATGATCTCATCCAGCTGTTCTTTCCAGTTCCTTAAGCCTACTCGTAACCATAACTCTACTTAAAACAGCAGTTATAAAGCAGACATGTGCCCTGTGGGGGACAGTGCTGCATACCGCCTTCCTACAGTACTGCTAAGCAGAGTGCAGTGTGCACTCTGGTGCACGTGTGCAGAGCACTTAGGGATGCTTGCTTCTGACCTTATGTGCCAAAAACTAGTGCTACAGAAGTGCATGCATGCATGCATCCTACATTTCCAGATGGATAACTGGGGTTCTGGCCTATCTAAAAATTGGTACTGCAACTAAAGGTGGCATGAGCGTGCTCATTTTCAGAATGACCCAACATGGGCAAATGTCATATTAAGCTGGGATGGACTGGATGGCAGCATTGTTCCTGCAGCTTTAAAGAAACTGTCTGGTTTAGGCGAGGTTGAGAGGCGAGGAAATATATGTATCTATATAAAATAATGGGTTCCTATTCTTTAAACACTAATATCAACTTGAATATGTTCCCTTAGGAAAAAAAAAGAAGTAAAGCAAAACAGTTGGACCACGATGAACAGAAAAAATGGGCATGGCCGGAGGCTTCTCTGTAAAGCACAAATGGAACCGAAAAAATTGCACTAACAGGGCAGAAGGCGTCCAGCCCTCCTACATCGCGAACTCAGTAGTGCAAAGTAAAGGCAGGGGACCCAGGACTAGTGCTCTTTGATAGTGCGCAGCTGCCATCGCGTGCCGAAAATCGGTATCGCAAGGACACAGGGGGCGCCCTTATGCAGAATGCTCGGGCAGAGCTCACTGCTGCCATCGTGTGTCCAAAAACCACTACGACAATTGCGTGGGGGTGCGTAGAGCGCTCGTTGCTGCCATCGCGTGTCCGAAAATGAGTACTGCAAGAAGGAGGGGGGAGCGAGCATGCGCAGGGCGATCGGGAGCGCTCACTGCTGCCATCGCGTGTCCGAAAATGGGTACTGCGGGGGGGAGCACGCATGCGCAGAGCGGTCGGCAGCGCTCCCTGCGGCTACCACGTGTCCTAAAGTGGGTACTGCAAGAGGGAGGGGGGAGCGCGCATGCGCAGAGCGATCGGCAGCACTCGCTGACGATCCCGTGTGTCGGAAAGTTGGTACTGCAACGGTAGAGGATGGGGAGCAGGGATTAATGTACAGATCGCTTTTACAGCGATGACTGCTCCGGCCATATGTGAGAAAATAAACAATATCTTTTGAGGGGATGGTGCGCATGCGCAGAGCCTTCGGAAACACTCGCCGCTGCTACCACGTGTCCTAAAGTGGGTACTGCAAGAGGGAGGGGGGAGCGCGCATGAGCCCCCTCCCTTTTGCAGCCCCGCCCCGGGGCTCTGCGACGCTTCCTGGGCTCCGGAGGAAGGGACGCTGCCCCGCCCCCGGGGAGACGTCATGGAGCGCGGCTCCCCCGTCCTTTCGGGAACGGGAGTCTTCCGGAATCGCGCTGCCGGGCGCCATGTTGCCTTGCGCAGCATTCCGGGAATTGTCGTACGTCGCGAGACTTTCGGGCGGCCGTGTTGTGCTCTGCAGGCCATTCTGGGAGTTGTAGTCTTCAGTCACGGAACTGCCTGGTGGCCATGTTGTAGTCTGCAGGGCATGCTGGGAGCTGTAGTCTTCCGTTACGCGACTTCCGGTCGGCCATGTGGTAGTCTGCAGGGCATGATGGGAGCTGTAGTCTTCCGTTACGCGACTTCCGGTCGGCCATGTGGTAGTCTGCAGGGCATGATGGGAGCTGTAGTCTTCCGTTACGCTACTTCCGGTCGGCCATGTGGTAGTCTGCAGGGCATGATGGGAGCTGTAGTCTTCCGTTACGCGACTTCCGGTCGGCCATGCGGTAGTCTGCAGGGTATGCTGGGAGCTGTAGTCTTCCGGTACGCGACTTCCGGGCGACCATATTGTAGACTGCACGGCATGCCGGGAGCTGTAGTCTTGCGATACTCGACTTCCGGGCGGCCATGTTGTAGTCTGCAGGGCATGCCGGGA